TTGGTCCTGATGAAATTTCGCCATTATTTTTAAAGAAGTGTGCATTATACTCACTCCAGCTATAACCTCTTTATTTAATAAGTCATTGTTATCAGGTATCTTTCCAGAACAATGGAAATCTTCATATATAACCCCGATTTTCAAAAAAGGCAACAGATGTTTAATAAACAATTATCATCCTATATCTAAATTGTCAATCATACCTAAATTATTTTCAAAATTGGTGAATAATATTATATCGCCTTTATGCAATAAATTATTATCAAATGACCAACACGGATTTAGGCAAAATAGATCAACAATAACAAATTTGTGCATATTTAAACACGCAATCTTGGATTCTTTTGAAATGCAATCACAAACTGATGTCATATATACTTATATGGAAAAAGCCTTTGATAGGGTTAATCATAAATTATTAATAAATAAATTGAAAATGTATGGATTCACTGAACCACTTCTCTCTTGGTTTTATTCTTTCATTTCCGGACGCTCCCAAATTGTAAAATATAAAAATTATGTCTCTGAACAAATTATCGTTACTTCCGGTGTTCCCCAAGGAGACCATTTATCCCCAATATTATTTTGCCTTTTTATAAATGATATATCAGATGTAATTTTTCATTCTTCATTTTTCATTTTCTGTTTTTTCGTTATCATTAATATTAATTAAAATTTGTTGTAAATTGTTAATATATATATATATCACTTATATCATCGCTTAATGTAATTTCTTTTTTTGTAATTAACTAGACATAGGTATTAATTGAAGTTAAGTCAAGTTAACGATATTTCTTAGCTACATTTTTAACTTAACCGATGTAATTCTCATGTGAATTAACTTAATTGAACATGAACTTAATTAACTTAACTGAGTTAAAAAATAAAAGCTTAATCAATATCCTTAGGGAATTTAAGTTTCCAAAAAAGCTAGTTAATCTTGTAGAGGCAAGTATAAATAGAACAAAGATCAAAGTAAAGCTAGCAAATATGTTGTCATAACCAGTGGAAGTGGTGACAGACAAGGGGATGCGCTTTCTCCCATACTATTTAACTTAGTGCTGGAGAAGATAGTAAGAGAAACCAATTTATGTGAAGGGGTTGAGTTAGGTCGATCGACAATTAATATTCTGTCGTATGCAGATGATATTGCTCTATTGGGAAGGAGTAGAGAGATGATAATAAAAATGGTTAGGCTGTGGTATAAAGGCTATGGTATAAAGGTTGCGGAGAAAGTAGGACTTAGGATTAATGAAGAAAAATCAGAGTACATGGTGGTCAGTCGGAGAAATGGGAATCTGGTACAAGATGAATTCATCGAAGTGGAAGAATACAAATTTAGAAGAGTGGACCAATTCAAATACTTAGGGTTAATTATAACTCAAAATAACGACATAAAAACAGAAATTTCAATGAGATTACAATCAGCTAATAAATGTTTCTTTGGACTTAGTAAAATTTTTAGATCAAGAGCAATCTCTAAGAACTTAAAAGTTAGAATGTACTTAACTTTGTTAAGGCCAATTGTCTTGTAGCAGAAACATGGCCCCTGAGAAAGACTGAAGAACGAAGGATGGCAGTGTTTGAAAGAAAAATACTCAGGAAAATGTATGGGGCATACTTTAGCATGACTCATTAATAAGAAGAGTAATAGAGGAAAACTCAGTAGGGAGGAGACCTTGGAAGACCGCGTTTAAGATGGGAGGATTGTATTAAGAAAGACGCTGAAACAGTGGAGCTGGAGAGTCATTGACAGGAAGTAGCAGAGGATAGAGATAGGTGGCAGTATGTTTATCTAGAGGTATGGTCTTGAATGGCCGAAACCAAGGAAGAAGAAGAAGAGTTAAAAAATATCATTAACTTGGCCAGTCTTGGAACAAACATTATATCGCTTGCAGTTTCTGAAAAATATCTGAATATACCTCTCTCTATCATCTCTTTCACTTCACGACTAATAATTCACTTTGTTTTCTATACAAACCATTTGTGTTTGCACTCGTGTGGTTACTACGGAAACTACGGAAAACACAACAGTTGAATACAAAAATATTAAAATCATTAACACATTGGTATTTTATTAATAAGAATTTCGAAATAACACTTTAAAATCGGATAAATATATGATTCTCTCATCGAAAGTACAACCCTTTAAATTTAACATAATTGATTGTTTGTAGGAAAAAAATATTTATATTTCTTTATTTATTTTTTATGAAAAATCTTTGATCATACAAACTAGGTATGGTATGGAATATAATCGTTAAGCATAACAATTAATAATTCAAAGCACCATTGCGCATACATATTAATTACTAATAATTACGACAAGTCGTTCACCATACACCACAATCTATGATCATACGTAAAAGAGATTTTGGTGGACAACTGCTATATTTCACAAATAGCACAAAATAGAGGATATAATCATTTATTCTATATCTAATGATCGGAAATTTGACAAGGAAATCATTTAATCATAATCTTAGTAATATATAGATTTAATAATAAAAAATAAATAATAAGTGTAACTTCGATGGTGGCAAGGGCATTTTTTTTAAGATTGCATGATTCCGGCCTCACTGGCTGCTGTGCCACCATTTAAATATGAAAATATATTTATTTTCTTAAACTGATTAAATATATTTCTAATTTTTCTAGATAGTCGAATAAAATAAAATAACTGAATGTTGTATGAATACTAAGTATTTAAGATATATTTTTCAAATCCAAAACGTGTGTAACGATTGTTACCCTGGTCACGTTACACATTTAAATAATAAAAATAAAATAGAGTCTTAATTATTGTAGACAGCAAAAATTATACAAAAAGTAAACATTTAAAAAATACACGAGTAAGACTTGAGTGATTTTTTTTATTTATTATTTTATAAATATTATTATTACACTATATATCATGTATATTTATATTTAATAATAAAAAATAAGCCCACACTACGTAAAAAAAAAAAAAAAAACACAACTATAAAATTAATACATAATTATTCGTTTTTACTATTTTATATTATAATATTAATGTTTGTAACTCGTTTATTACTTTTTTATTTTTTCGTCACGAGTTTATTTTATTTACAAAATAATTTTTTGATGTGCGAATCAATTTCAGCTAACTTCGCATTTTATTAGAATGTGTATATAAAACCCAATAACTGTTGTATATTATGTATAATTATACATATGTCTAAATACTAATTAATAAAGTATCACAACACACACACGAAATATATACTATTATATTATTACATTACATCATATTACAATACATGATTATAATATTATGCATTTTACAGACATATCGTGATTTCCCGACATGGTGATTTTTTGAGATTGTAATCATTTATAATAATAATCGGATCGATCTGAATAGAAAAAATAAAATAAGTTAGGACGGAAAATCTCCTACACACCCGACTGCTCGTGTGCCGCCACACATTGCTACCGCTATCTCTATTATAATTTTATAATACATATATCTATCTTGTCGCGGTTATTACAACTTCGTAATGTTTGTTAAAAATGTATTTAATTTTTTCATATATACGAATACAATACACACACATACACACACACACACACACACACACACACACACACACACACACACACAC